TGTCTTTCGCGGATGGTGAGCCGAAAGTTCGGTCCATCCAGCTTTGTCGTGTGTCGTGCGGTACACGCTGAGCACGCAATGTCACGCACGTGACCAGCACTGGCAAAATTTCCCGCCATCTGTAAATGCGTCGACCCGACCTTGATCATGTCGGTCCATGGTGAAGCTCCGACACAAACGAGTCCCACTCGCCGATGGAAGATCTGACGTAACATGACAAAAGCTAAAACGATTGAAGATGTACATTTGTCATGATGGAATGCCGAGACGGATTTGGTGTCTGTCGTCGCTTTCGACGCGCCTTGTCTGACTACGGATAGAGCCACTTTATAGTCAGAGGGGACGAAGGCTTTGTTGAGATCAGAGTGGGCATCGATCAACGAATGAGGTTGGTGTGACGGGTACGTCTTGTTGATATCAAGTGATCTGTATTGCTGGGTACCGAGGAAGCGTGCCGGCGATAATGCACTGCTCGCGAGTACGAGAACCGAGCAAAACTTCCCTCATGGACCTGAGACGCTATTTGAGATATTTGCACGGCGCACAGCATGCAGCAACGAGAACGTCTTTCCGCGGTGGCCGAATTCCATACTGTCTCCGCACACGCACTCGCAAGAGACACAGGAGCAGGGTGTGAAGGCCAAAGAAGAACAGTGCTCCACAGCAGAACAGAATCTGCTTGAGCGGTAGACGAGCGGACTTCGCACCATAACGTCGATCATGGGCGCCTTGTGCGTGTCGGTCGTGACGCAGTGTGAGATGAAGAGAAGGACGCAGACCACGAGGCCGACGATTGCAGCCCCGTAGCGTATCAGTGCGTTCGGGTAGTTATCGTCCATTCGGGCCCGGACTTGTGCCATAACTACGCACGGGCAGAACGTGGACATGCAGCAGCTGGGAAGAGCAGCCGAGAAGCAGCTGAAGAAAGGAACGTCCCGGTCATTGCCATTGTATCCCATGACCTCAGTTACGTGCGCGGTCCCGGGTGTCCTTGATCGATGTTGTTCTGCATCATCTTTCGGCTCTTTCGCGTCGGCTGCATTTGAACGCAAGACACCGCACGCTCGAGAGTCATCACTGAATCACGTAACCTGTCTCGCTCGTAGGGCTTCAGAAGGTGCGCCGACGAAAGAATCAGTAATGTCGTGATGACGGGTTGTCGATCGGGAGGAGATGGGAGTTTTTTTTGCTGCCCCGTTGAGAGAAAGACCTGTCGGCGGATAACCGAATATAACCGTGCACGAGGGGTGGCCGCTTTGGACATGTTCACTCGAGTCGAAAGTCGATGATGGCTAAGGAGTGAACAGCCCGGTAACCCAAGACGGTCAGTCCACTTTTTTGGTCACGATTCGCTTGATGGGTTTGTTCCTTGTCGACCTGACGAGGCGCAACAGAGAACACCATTGACGTTCAGACCAGTCACCAGGTGACTTCACAGTGCCAGGATCGGAACAAGCGCGACAGTGCTGAGGCAGCATCTCGGACCCTTCTTGTATGGGTATCCCTGTTCGGAGACAAAATGGGCGCGTTGTTCGGACACGAACATGCGTTTTAAAATTAACTTATTCAATCCTTCACATAACGACGCAGCCGGATGGGGGTTTCTCCACCAAACCCGTGCGCAGGAGACTGTCCTCATGTAGGTTGATACGCGGCTCTGGCCATTCGAATCCCAGTCCGGGATTACGCAGGCAAACCGTCGTGCGGACGATACTCGCATCACCACCTGACCCAAAAGGCGTCATGACCATGTCACCACGAGATGCCTTGATCGCTCGGATCACGCTGGACGGTGCAGGTGGCGCACGAGTTTCCGAAGTAGTTAAACCGAGTCGTAGAGCAACAACGGACTCCGTCCTTTCACGCACTTCTGCTCCAGCATCCCCGATCCATAGATTGTATCAACCGGCTGTCCAACCACGCCACGCACCGGCCGCCCGGAGGCCGATCGCGCAGCGTTCATGCATTGACGGCAAGTCCACCACGTAAATGTCATCCACACACGGTGTAAGCGTACAGTGCCTCTACCAAACGGTGTCGATAATTTCCAGCGCTCCTTTGGAAAACAAAGTCTTCGTGTCAGTCAAACGACTTCGGTCATACGTGTTCCTAGAAAGCAAGTAGCTGAATGGGCTGGCCAGTAGCTCGAGCGTGTTACGCCTCGCTCGTTTCGGGGGTGACTGGTACTTCCTTTGCGTGGTCTGCCTGGACGTACGCAACGACCCCATCGTAATCCGAGTTCATGAGAAACGCTTTGCAGCACCCGTTGTACGGCTGACTCATTGCCGTGGCGGCCAGACCGAAGATGGTGTCAATCTGGTGCTCAACGCCAGTCTCATCAGCATACGAACGGCAAATACGCCGGTCCCGTGCTGGAAGTCGCAACCCATACCGGAGCAACTGAAAGATGCCACCACTCTGGAGGAGCATGGCCTTTTCTATCCGTCAAAGGCCCTTCGTCGTGTCCGCAACAGCTTCCGATGTCATATCTGCTGGATTAATGAGGTCCCGTCTAAGATAAGCCATAGCGTCATGACCATCGGCGAGAGCTGAATCGGTCAATGCAACTGCAGACGCCGTCAGCTTACCGCGGCAGCTGCAGACAACATCTTTGCCATATATCGTGGTAACACAAGAGCTAACCGGAGCAGGTGTGCTCGTCGGCGCTGCTGCATTCTTGCCTGAGCTCAGCCCAAGCATGGAGAAGAAGCTTCGAGATGGAGACACAGGAGGGGGCTGCAAACACTGCTCATGAACAATACACTTGTACGTGAAGCCGCGTCGCGCCGCTTCGCGTTTTCGTCTCACCGTGAAATAGCGCCGGATCTCGTAGACGCGATCTTCTCCGCGGAAGTTAATGACCGCGCTGGCCCGGCGGGCGAATCCACAACAACCGCAACAGAAAACAACGGCTTTACACCGGAGCTGCCTGGTACGAACGTAATCAATTTCTTCGTAATGAAGCCGATGCCAAAGCGCACTCCTGCGAACATTCACGGTGACGCCACATCACTCGTCGCATAACTTTCAAGAATGCGTCATCGACAGCTTGCAGCGAATCCCCATTCAGAAAAGCCGTTATATGCAGCATATTCTGGTCACCGGGATCAGACGTCGTGTAAATTTGTCTTCTGCCCGGTAACTCATCACGCGCCTGATTCCAAATAGGGTTTTGCCAGCGTGTGACGCATAGACGCGAGCAGGTGGGGCTGGGTAGAACTTGACGTACCGCAAAGAGCTCGTGGCTGGCGGTGATGTATACGTGCCCCAGAGCAGCAGGTTCTCTTCGGTAAAGTGGCTTGTATCCGTTCCTGACGCGTTGGCGACAACGACCATTCCGTCATGGCACTTGTACATGCCATCAACCCCACGGAACTTGCGAACGATCCCACGTCCGACCGGCGTGCGAACGAGCGAATCTGCAAAAACTTGCGGCTTCATCAGCGGCGACGGGTCATACTTTTACAGAGCAGCGCATTGGCCACTTCCAGGTCACGGTTCAGCATCAATCGCGCGCGTTCGCGACTCTGCGGAGTGAGCCACGTACGAATGCCTTCAAATGACCGTCCAGCGTCATCACAGATTTTCTTTAGTCCACTAAGTCGGATCCTCTTTCGTACGAAAAGTCCCTGACAGCTGCACCCACGTACGTATCAAAGAAAAATATGTTCATTGCGCGCCAGCGGTTCAAATCCTCCTTCGAGTGGTAGTTGTACATCTTTTCCATGGGCGCACGCGCTGAAAAAACGCAGCCTCTAATGCGTCCGAGCCAAGTCTCTCCACAATTAGCTCCGCAGCACGCACGTCGCCCTTGTCCGTTATCCCCGACAAACACGTGTTTGAACTCCGGATAAAGCTGGTAGAATTCACTGGAGTTCTCAAACTTCTTTTGTGCCATTGGTTCCAGTTCCCCTTGCCACATGAACGCGTGACCCGACTCTGAGGTTCCCGGCAAGCAGCGTAGGCAGCGTGTGCATTCCCATCTTCTCGTGCAGCGCCGCAAACTTCGCGTACGACTTTTTCTCCGACACGTCTTTGTACACGTGCGGACGTGCCGAGAGGAACACGAGGTTGCCGACGCGGCCGCCTGTCCAGTCATCCGGCCCGACTGTGCCCATGTCCAGTTCCCGGTAGAACGCCAGGACGCCCGGGCACAGCGTGTGCCGAGGGAAGCGCGTGTCCAGTCCTGCTGGGTACCGTCCACCGGACGAGTACAGCGTGTCGTCCACGTCACCGAGCACCTTGCGCCACGCCTGCTGCTTACGACTGCGGCCGCGCTTTGTCCCCAGCCGCGTGTGGGCAATCTGTACACTTGCTTCGCGCTGGATGTGACTGATAACGTCCGTCCGGACCGTCGGGTCGCGAATGTCGTTGAACACGAGTTTGTGCATACTGTGGTCGCCTTTGGCGTCCGTGTACGTCTTGAGGTTGTCTGAGGTCGTCCCCCGTGTCTTGAGGATGATGTTGCGCACCACTTTTCCGCCAGCGGCTGCGCGCTGATCTTCATGACCATCAGCGCGTCGAGCAGCAGCGCCCGCGACATGACCGAGAGGTCGCCGAGGCGCGGAGCACAGCAGGTCGAGCATGAGCGTCCGGCTCTGGTCTTCGCGCACTTTCGAGTGGTCCTTGACCTTGTAAAAGAGCAGCGCGAGCGGGATGCGGTTCACCACGTAGTTCAGCTCGTCTTTGCCGGCGCCCGCGAGGATGCGGAAGATCTTGTGTTCGCGCTGCTTGACCTCGGCGAGGTTCAGCATGTTGTTGATCGTGCTGGGCAGGTACCGGCGGTCGATGCGGCTCACGCACTCGACGAGGAGGGCGGTCTTTCTTGGCCCGGCCTTGTACTGGAACAGGTTGTGCGACAGGTGGCGCGTGGCGGTCTTCAAGCGCGGGCGGCGGCTGATCTCCTGGCGGTGCAAGAAGCGGTCAAAGTAGTGCACGCTCAGAGTGAAGCCAAACACGAGCACGAGGCCGAGCGCCGAGTTCCACTGCCCAACGGCCAGCGGCGAGTCGCGAATGTACAGCACGGCTGCGCTAAAGAGAAAGGCCGTGCACGTCCAGAAGCGGTTCTCAAACTCCTGGGCGTCGTGCCAGCGCCACTTGGACTCAGTGGCCAGGTACAGCACAATCACGTACATGATGCCGAGCCACGACGCACAGAGCAGCGGGCGCGTAGGCGAAGAACGCCATGACCACAAGCGCCACGGCACGCCGAGGAAGATCAGGGCCACCGGCACGAGCGCGCTCGTGGCCGCATCGTTCTTCTTCTTCTTTGTCGTGACCATTGACGTGGTCGTTGAGGTGGTCGTTAAAGTTGCCGTCGTCGGGCGCGTTGAAGTTTCCGCTGCCGTTGCCGTTGCTGTTGCCGTCGTCGTTGACGTTGTATTTGTGTGGCGCGTTGTGCGCATCGTCGTCTGGAAAGAGGACGGCGTGGCCCGCAAAGAGAGCGGGGACGATGGAAATGTCTGGTCGATCTGGTCCACCCGTGTCTGCGTAGTAAGGGCCATGAGAGAGCGGCGATCTCGAGTGTCCTCCCCCGCCGTGACGGCGCGCAAGGAGAACGAATGTTTTCGTTCCGTCTTCTCGTCCGCTTTGTGTCAATTCTCTCGAAATGTGTGTGTGATCGGTGAAGACCCAAAGTGAGGCGAGTGACGGAGCCCAAATTAAGACGACACCGCGGCTATGCAGCTTGTGTCGAGATGCGTGCGACGGTTCGAGCGCCTCGGCTCGAATCTACTCTGTTTCGTCGTGTTTCGACCAATCAAACGGCGTATACGAGCATGCACGCCCGCAAATACGCTGCTGTACAGTTGCACAAAGTTGTGGCGGACTGAATCGCCGCGACTGCAAAGCAGCACGAAGCGCACTGTAGGGAACGGCGAGAGCTCTATGTGTCACAAACTTGGCCCGTGCACAGGCAGTAAGGGGGTGACACGTCTTGTCGACGCTTGCGTGTAGAACGAGCGCGTAGCAGTGCAGTAATGGACGTACGTAGCAACAACCGATTGCTTTGTACAACAGCAAGTGGACTAGAGGGACTCGTTATCCGCATGTCGGAAGGCCGTATCGTTCGGCTGAACCCTTTGTGTCGCTCGCTGAATGCTGTCCATCTGTTTCTTCAGATCCCGCGTCATGCGCGTCGTTTGGCTATTTCGGTAATAGTTTATCGCTAATGTCAACTTACGAAGCGACGTCACGCGCCCGCAGTGATGACACCGAGCGACCCTGTACAAAAGCATCGATATGCTGTAACACAGTTTCCTACCGCCTCGACGACCCATGGCAGCGCGCGACAGCTGCTGGTGGCTCGGGCCGTGGCAGCAACTCGACCGCGAGTGGCAAACACGCTCTGCACGAGGGCAGGAGCAGCTCGCAAAGGTGGCAGACAGCGTGCAGAAGACCACGTGAGTGTGTGTGTGTGTGTGGCACTGACACTGCGGGTGGATGTGGGTGAGCTAACGAACATCGCGCCGCTCAGATACCTCACGGGGGACCACTGGGGATCGCTGGCCGACTGCGGACCACTGAAACGTCGGGCGACGTCGCGGGTGTGTTTGTACCCTAAAACGCCAATAAAGAGACGTTTGCATACAATACAACAACAAAGCGGTGGTACAAAGTGAGTAGTGAGCTGAGTCCTCGATTGGGCCTGTGGCTCTGTGTCGATTGGTTGCAGTTGTGGGAATTGGCCCACCGATGCTGCAGTAGGCTGCAGACGGAAGTCGATGCGCTGGTGCGTCATGTTGTGCTACGGTTCTGTTCTGGTCGTATGTCGTCATTGCATATAACATTGTTGCTGACCTTCTGGAGTGGAGCTGTAGGCAGACGTTTATGCGCAAATGCGGCGCTTGTTGGTGCATGACGTGGCAAATACGTTAGGAGAAGACCGCAGGCACCGATATGGTGGGCCATGAGTGTTGCTCGAAGGGGCGACATGGTGCTGACTACTGTATTGTGCTGCGCTGTCCAATTGGCAGAACTGATGCTGCTGGAGGTGTTGGCCATGTACGAGCACGAGCTCGTCGCGAAGTCGCTCATTGCTAGCGACATCTTCGAGTGCTCGAGATACGAGACAGTGACGATGTACCTGGCGTCGTGGCAAATGCAGCCGCACATTGATCGCCAGCGTATTGAAGAGCTAATGACGTTGATTCAGAACGACCAGCATTATCAGACGCGTCGACCACCGAAATGAGGAGAAGACCACTCAGTAGCGGGCACTCGAGCTGAGAATGGATACATCCGAAGCGATCCGCACAAGTGAAGAAAAGCTATTTTTATGCCAAGTCGCCATTGATATTCTGATTCGTGGGTTCGATTCATTTACGACCCGTCAAATCGTCTCATCTTGTAAGACGCTGTGAAATCGTGGGCTCATGAGTTTCTGCAGCCTCTTTTTAGCCCCTTTTTTTGCCATCGCTGCTAAATCGTACCGCGACTTTCACCGTTTTTCGGCCGCAGTGTTTCCAACATTCTCTGTCCCGACTACAGTGTCCGATTCCCAATAGACAGTACCGATCGACAGCTACAGCCGACAGAACGAGCAGCACGCGCCATGACCGACCGCACGGACGCCAACCTGCGCGCCTCGTCGCCTTCCAATAAGTTCAGCAGCAGCAGCAGCAAAGGCGCGGCCAACTTCCGCACGGAGGAGATTCGGGGTGCGTTCCATTGGTTCTTCTTTCGCTGCCAATAGCAGTCAAAATGAGATTAAATCGCCGATTTCGACGGGGTTTTACGCTGTGTCTGCAGGTTATTTGCTGAAAAAAACGCGCGAAGGCAAGTGGCAGAAGCGCTGGTTCGAGACAAATGGCTGCTTCCTCACGTACTACAAGGTGCGCAGACGGGGCATGTTTTGTTTTTCGGGGGTGAGAGGCGGCCGCAGGGCTGGCACGTCGTTATTCACGGGGTGTGTGTATACACGTATACACCTGTGCTTTCTCGCAGAAACAAGGTCAGAAACTGCTGGCAGCACTCAATCTGCCCCAAGTTGGCGTCATCACGCTGCTTCAGGAAGACCACGCTTGGTAAAATGCAGACGCTCTCTTTCGGCTGAGCCCATGTGGCAGGTTCAATTCGCTCACTAACATGTTCTTTTTGGTTTTGTGTGTGCGTCTTCTGTGCGGTAGACGGCCCCGGTCTTTTTACTATTGAACTGAACGAGCGCGTGTATACGATCAAAGCGAGCTCCCATGATGAAGCCGCATTTTGGGTCGACGCGCTGCTTTGGCGTCAAGCTGGCGGCATGGTCAAAAAGTCGTTGGAGGTGAACAAGCAGACAGTTGGTGACGTGCCCTCGATGGATCTGGCAGATAGTGTCTGCAGCTCAGCAGCTTCTACTCCTACCAACTCTATGTACGCGGAAAAGATGGGCCTGCATCACGCAGACGTGATGTCTATCAATCCGGATAATGTGGGCAAAAATGGAGCTCCGTGTGCAGCCTGCTGCGTTGTGCAATAAGTGGACGTGAAGGTCGGAAGGACACGACAGCCGGCAGAGAGACGATATCTTGCCCTGCTTTCTGCTGCCTGTTATCGCACCCGGTCGGATCCAAGCACCCGTCTGCTGCTGCTGCTGACGATGTTCGTGTTTGATGTTGAGAGTTCCTGATTGCTCTAGCTATTTTTATGAGCAGCTTCGAGAAGGAGCTAATAATGCACGAGAATTCGCAATCTACTACGTATGCTGATGAATGTAGTCTTGAGGTGTAGAAACCGCCAGTTTTTGCTCTTCTCTTTACATGCTTTTTATTACGCGCAGGACGAACAGCTATCTAGACGCCCAATTCGTGGAGGTAACTTGCTGGAGAAGGCTCACGGCCAAGCACGTCGACAAGCAGATCGTTTGGATCCTTGGCTCCACCATGCATCATCAGATTTTGGTACAATTCTTCGCCTGCTTCACGGTTCAATGGGCTCTGGAGGCCACTAAAGTGTGTATGCCAAATATCGGCGGCAAACACGCGGGCGTACAGGTAACTGTAGTAGCCAGCACCGTAGCCGATCAAGTGTCCGAAACGTGTGTGCCAGCACGTTCCATCCACGTGAGGCACCAACGTACTAGCGTTCTGCAGCTCCTGCAGCATTTGTGTAGTCGTTGGAGGGCTGCAAGGCAAAGGCTGCTCCTTGAAAAGCCGCAAGTCCAGCATCGAGTACAAGCACTGAGTCTGTGTGTCCATCGCAGCAAACATTGTCTTGGAAGCACGCAACCCTTGCATCATGTCAGCAGGCAACGGGGCACCTGTCCGATAATGGTGGGCGAACTCTCGGACGACGCGGTAGTCCCACGCGAAATACTCAAACAAGTGCGACGGCGTCTCCACGAAATCCAGAGACGCGCGGGTACCCGAGAGATGCTGAAACTCAGTGCGAGACAGCAACGAATGCATTGCGTGACCAAATTCGTGGAAAAGCGTCTCCACTTCAGCGTGCGCCAGCAGCGATGGGCTGTCCGGCGCGGGCTTGTTGAAATTGCAAACAAGCGCTACGATGGGTTTCTGGTACGACCTGTCGCTCAGACGCTTGCCACAGCGTATAGTAAAGTGAGCTGCGTGGTTGTACTTGTTTGGCCGGATGTACAAGTCGAAGTACATGTAGCCCAACGTTTCACCGTCTCGCGTGAGCGCGAGTTTCACCACGTCTTCGTGCCAGCACTCGCTCGAATTGAGCACGGGCACCTGTTTCAACTCCAGACCGAATAGTGCTGAGCACAGCAAATGCAGTCCTTTCAAACAGTTCTCGAGAGGAAAGTGCGCAGCAATTACGCGCGAGTCAATCCCGTACTTTTTGGGCCTTGAGCATACCCATGTAGTATGGCAAGTCCCACATGTACACGTGGTCAACAGAACCGCCTTCGTGTTTCCGCTTGGCGTCCAGCAAAAGCTGTTGCTCCATCTTAGCCTAGAACAAAAGCACCAAGTGAGCGGCACTGAACGGATCCAAAAGCAACGGCAGCACACGAACTTTTGCCATCAGCTGTCTAGCAATGTCTCGAGTAAATACTTCAACAGCCTCTGGAGATCCAATCCATACGGTCACTGTCAAGCAGTTAGCGCACATGCCACACATGATTGGACTAAGGAGCGGTACGGTATGGACGATGTAAGCGCCATGTGTACCGAGTTCCGCACCTTGTCGCTAGATGAGCGTATGTAGGGAATCCCAAACACTGGGCAAGTTCATGCCGCTTCGCTCGCAGCTTATCCAGTACCGGCAAATTATCTTTCGCACACGAATTTGCAGCAACGTACATGTTTCGCCGGACTTCTGGGTCGCCAACCCACTTTAACACTGTGTTCATGACGTGCAGGTCTGTGGGGACCCGCAGTGTGTCATGGCTCATCCACTTGCGCTCACACACGGACGTGATGCTATGCGGCATACCTCGTATGTATTTAGCTGGCACTTCCACATAGTCCCTTGCATCATACATCGTCGACTGGAACTGCATGCTGAGTTTGGTGATATCCCTTTGCAACGAGATCACTCGCTGTCGCTCAGCACGAGGCAAATGGATGCCGTCACGCTCAAATTCGTTGCGCAGCAACGTTCCCATCCTCTTCTGCTCTGGTGTGAAGCTTTCGACGGCAACTTCGTCTTCCATCACAGTCTTCAGCGACCGAAATATCTCCACGTCGGTATTCAAGTTCTGGATAAAGTCGGACAACTCAGTGTAACACTCACTAGCTGCTCGCCGAAAGTTCCTGCACCATCAAACGATATCGGTGAGAGATCCTATCCGCTCTGCACCTATCACTGGATACAAGAAACATTTCAGCTCTTTTCATCGCCTACTCATCGGGGTGTACATTGCGACAAAGCTCGGACGCATCAATGACTGCGCATATGACATTCGAGACATCGTCCAATGTGTACAGCGTCTGCAGTCCCGGCGACGATGTTATCAGCTGCACTAGCAGTCGCCACAATTGACAGAGGATAACATTGCAACATGATAGTGTAAGAGTAGTACGATGGTAACAAATCGAGCAATGCGATAGTAGTAGTAGTAGTAGAAGTAGTAGTAGTAGTAGTAGAACTACTACATCAGTATGACCACTGTACCTCCTGTCGTAGCTGATGACAATGCGACTTGACGTTTCGTGTGATTTTCGAAAAAGTCCGACGGAATGTGCAAATTTGGCAATTGGAAGAGTCCTGGCGTGGCCTCTGTCGTTGACCTCACGCCGGAAGGAGCGCCAAAAGAGACGCCGTTAGGTCTTCCTGGTACCGTTTGTCCAATCGATAGAAGACGGGTCGCGTGGCGGGCGAGCGGGAGTCGCCATTGTCCGGAATAGATCGATCGCATGGCGTGCATTGTCACAATAGCGCAGCGATTATTGCTAAATGTGACGTGACAGACGTTTGCCATTTATGCCCAATCAGACATCGCTTCGATAGGTGCACAAGCACTCAAAACACGATATTGTGCGCAACGGATCAAGTTTCAGAAACATTGGCGATCACAATGGTGGCGTTGTCACTTGTCTCTACTTATTTTTCTATCGATCGACAACCGATCCCTGCAATGCTGACAAGACACACTCGAGTTTCTGCATGACAAACTCTGGATCAGCTTCGTACACGTAGATGCCCGTCGAACTTGCAACCAGCAGCTCGGGTACTCCGTCATGGTTCACGTCTTGCCACAATAAGCTGTAGATCGCGCCAAACGTCTCCATGTCCCACTGGCTTCGAGATAACCGCTGCCACTTCCGCTGCACCACCACAGGCTCTGGCGCTACAAACGTATCCGTATCCGTCACTGGGACCATCTCCAGGTCGTCCCACATATTCTGCACACTTTCCGTCGACAGAGTCGGCGCCTTTTCGTGTGCAGGGAACGAGTCATCGCCACTGAGCTCAACTGAACTTTTCGCGGCTTGGCAACCGCTGGTATCGTCATCGCTTCGTTCCTTGTACGCTAACATAACTTGACTGTCGGTTCCCAACACGACTTCAGCTTCTCCGTCCTACCACACACATACATATGCATCCAGGTCAGTATCGCGAGTTCTCGTGTACGAGTTCAAAGCAAGCTTACCAGGTCAATGTCAGCGGTGATACCCGCAAAGATCGAGTCGAATGCGTCCGAGTCCATCAGCACCTCGCCTTTCTCAATGTGGTCCGATGCACCAAACAAGTTCTCATACACCAGCGCTTGGCCAATTGCGCACGTGACCAGTAGATTGCAGCGCCAAGTCGAGCTAGCGGTTTCTGCTGTAGCCGACCGCTTCAGGAAAAAGGAGACACAAGTCACAGGGCCACTCAGTTGCACGTCTTTGGTCGTGAATGGGCCACCGAGGCGCCCTTCGTACGTCTGCCCATGATACACGCGGACCAGTCTGTTCCAGCACACGAGCAACGTCAAGTCGCTGCAAACAAGACAACAGCAAGCATTGCCGTCACGCTAACCTTACCCGTCAGCGCAGCCAAAAGCAATCCAGCCTTGGTCTCTCTCTGGTGACAAAAAGGTATCGACTGCTATGATTGTGTGTGTGAACGTTGCAAATTCGGGGAAGAATTCCGCGAATTGCTCGTTGTCCAGAAGAGTGCAGGTAGCATCCAGGTCCGCCCGAAGCTCGGTATTAGACATCTTTTTCCTCTCTTTGTTCTTGATGTACCCAATGGCCAGCATCGAGTCCGTACAGCACACGATAACACCGTAGAAGACGTCCCCGTTTGTCCCAGATGCCTGGATACTGTACATGCACGTTGGTGCTGCCTGCAACTTGAAATCGCCGCCCTTCAGCGGTTCTGCATGGTCTGCGATATCGTGATATGGAGTCAAAATTTGCACGTAGAGCGCTTCCCCGACCGCGTACGCCACCGCCACTTGCGACGGACACGGCGCTGGCCGCTCAACGACAGCACTGGCAATTACGTTCACTTCTTCAGTCGACAAAGCGTCGACTTCGAGTTTGTGCAGACTGTAGCCAGCATCGTCATAGCTCAGCAGTGCCACACATCGGTCGGTCGTGACGAGCGTGTACCTATTCATCGCAAACGTATCAGCACAAATGAGCGGTCAATTTAACGCGCGCATACCGCAAACAAACAGACAAACGGACGAGACCTATTGATAGATCGGTCCATTAACAACAGATGGCTCGCTGGATAGATGAAATTTGTCAATACCTACCTGCAAGAAGAGGACGAGGACGAGGAGGAGGGGAAGGAAGAGAAGGACGAGGAGGAATTGAGCGTGAGCAGACTGGGTGCGCCACAAGGATACGCAAAGAAGCGTCGCTGATGGAACAGCATGTGCCAAATGTCGGTAGCTGTGCCGAGGAGCTACTGGTTGCTACTTCGATAAATATACCGGTTTTGCATCCGCAACTTAATGAAGGCAGTCTGTGTGGCTTTTCCGGTGATCGTGTGGCGTCTATGTCACTTGTATCCCATCTGCTCGGCACTTCGCAGCAGCAGGTGCTGCCTACTCGCCAAGTCTCAGCTCGTCTCCTGAGGACACAAGGGACCGGCCGGAAGGCCACAGGAACAGCTTCAAACGAGCCGCACCCCGTCCGTCTGTTCGTGCGTCCATCGCGAGGGTAAGGGCAGTATTTGTCTCGACTTCACTATCGACTCGGAGGTCGATCGGTGCCACGCTCGACTCGGAATGCGCGTGGGAATGACAGGCCGACTCGCGCTGCCTCGTCGTGTCTTGTCCAGCGTGGGAGAGGAGGGCGCGACGACGCACCGGTCTCACTCGGCGCTCAGACGCTGCGGGTGACTAACTACGTGTTTTGACGTCGAAGAAAAGGCGCGACATTGAGAGAGACGTGCGCGCCGCTCTGGCCGCGGCTGCTCGTGCAATCGCTCGCGCAAAAGACTGTATTTGCACCTATCAATGAGCTCGCTCCTCACAAAAGACTGTATTTGCACCTATCAATGAGCTCGCTCCTCACAAAAGACTGTATTCCCACCTATCAATTAGCTCGCTCCTCACGTCTCCACGATCCCACCCTCTCTCGCATGTGCTTTCTCTTGCCAGAAAGGGGCAGTTCCAGCCAGCTGCGCGCTCGTCTCGTGCCCCGTCGTTGCAAAACGTCCCGTGGGGCTTCGCGGCCGCCGTTTCGCTTCACCAAAGCCGTTCGCGCGGCCGCCGTCCAACTGCGTCTTGCCCACCTACCTACCTACCCCTCGTCTCCGCAATATATAAATGGATTTATTACGTCGTCCCCTTCACCACGTGCATTTGCTGTCGCCACCGCCGCGTCGAGCCCCCAGTGCTTTCCGCCGACCCGTCTCCTCCGCCAACACACCACACATCAAGCAAAAAGCACAAGAGGGCTTTACACATACACACAACGTCTCGCACGTCGCGCTCAGTCGTAGCTAAGCATGTCCTCGCCAAAGAGCGGCATTTGCCGGCCCGAGTCGTTCAGTAAGTAGTCCATGCCGTACGACTCGGTCCACTCCATGAGCGACATCTCTCTTGTCCGCTGGCTCTGGCTCTTCGACATGGGGTCCAGCATCATATTGAGCGGCGGCTGACGCAGCTGTGACGTCGCGACGTGGTCCAAGTGCGACGCGTAGGCGTCCGGCAGGACGTTGGCAGGTGGCGGCGGAGCAGCGAGCGTCATCCGGGGCACGGACGGGTCGTTCATCTTGATGCGCTTCGGCGCGCGCTGGGCCGGTGCCGACACCGACAGCGGCGGTCCCCGCGCGGGTTTGTCCTGCAGCAGGCTCTTGACAAGCCCCGTCAGGTCCGACAGTTGGCCCATGAGCTCGGACACTTGGCCCTGCAGGCTCTGCACCGACTGCTTGAGCGTCTCGACCTCTTCGTGGTCAGGCGACGCCGGCTCCGAGTACGTTTTCCGCCGGATCTGCGCCATGAGCTCCTGCCGCCCGCGCACGAACTTCTCGTGGTAGAACTCCCACCAGTTCTTGCTCTCGTCCTCTTCCGTGTTGATGACAATCTCGTCCTTCTTGTGCTTCCGGAAGCCGTAGAAGTTGAGCTGCCGCACGAAACTGCTAAAGTTGTTGTGCTTGAAGTAGCGCGGGAGCATCGTCTTGGCGAACTCGCGCGGCAACTTGATGATGAACGACGTGCCGGTCTCGCTCCAGCACGCGACGGCCGGCGGCGAGCTCTCAATCATGTCGTAGGTCTTCTGCAAAAACACGGGCGCGGCAGAGCCTGTGCCGCTGCTGGGGCCCTCGAGGCCCATTGGGGCAGGGCGTTTGCGCAGTTTGTTGTCGCCCATGGTAGAGGTATGCTTGGCGGTTGTATGCGGGCTGTGTCGTTTCGTCTTCTTATCTCTTCTTCTTCTTCTTCTTCGGTCGACCGAGTCGTCTGTGCGGTGACAAAGCAGAAATGAGCTTGTCGGGCGGTGGGAGCAGGGCGCGTGCGACCAGGGCTAGGGCCGCGTACAACGTGTCGGCCAATCGATGGGCGCGCTTTCGCGCCTCGTGATTGGTCGACGCTTCTCCACCGCTCGACCCCGCTACTTAACCAGAAGTCGGCCGACGCGCGCGTAGAAACGGACCACCGCATGCGGCCGACAAAAATTCAGGTAGGACCAGTGCGGCCATAAACGAGCCAGTCAACGGCGCATTCAACCTGCCCGAAGTCGGCTCCGCCCCTTTTTTTCTCTCGCGGAATTATAAAATGCCGAAAACATCGCATGGCCACGGACGAGCAGACGACAGCCGAGACATATTGCTTGCTAACGCCATCGCTCGCCGCAGTCGACCGTGTGCGCGCTGAACGACTGCGTTTTTTCACTTGCATTTGTTGTGGCGAATTGGTGCAATCGACTTGTCTATATTGTGCAGGGTGGACGCGAGCCACACAAAAGATGCACTGCATTGGCGTGTTAGTGGTCCTTTTTTGTACAGTCGGTGCTACATTTACTCGCTTTTGCTGAAATTTTAGGGTATATCGTGGCAGCGTCGCACACGCAGTTCATCTCGACGTGGCTTGCAAGGCAAACAGGACACGATGAATCAGTCGGCCGCCTCAAACGCGCGGGCTGAGCACCTTCGTAACAAGCTGCGCTGGCGCGGATCATAACGCTGCCGATGGGTAGCTGCAATGTGACAAAAGGTGCTTGCTCGGACATGGCAACCAACATGTTTGCTGTCAACGAAGGGATGTCAAAATTGCATTAGGTGGCACCTGAATAGATCATTTACCTGTTCTTTGAACACGCTGGACGTGGTAATGCATGCTGCCTGACCAGAGGGCAAGATGCACTGCCGGCCACCGGATCGCTTCGCGACAAGTTCTCGAGCGACGGTCCGACGCGGACGTCGAGCGCGTAACAACCGCATTCTTCTTTCGTGTTCTATTCGTAGGTGGGCTCATATATCGTAGCAAGTTACGCTATAACGCTCTTGGTGAGAATACATCTCCGTAATCAAATCCTCCTATTCCGCCGTGGGGTCACGCATGTCGCAATGGAAGAAAAGACGTCGGCTGCTGAAATGTGCACGACAAGTTGACAAAGTATACGTTCAGCGGCAGCGTAAAAGCCTCTCGCAGGCAAGACGTCAGGATTTTGTCAACAGCAGCTTAAGGCCTACACACACTTGCAGTTGCGCGTACTGCGCTGTGAAAAGGACTGACGCACACACACGTCTCATGCTCGCAGTTTGCGAATGATCTCTGTGTCATTACAATGTGTGAAAAGATGCGTAAGTAGCGACATGAGAGCAATGAGGGACGAAAGCCACTTGAGCCGTCACGCATTCCACTATCGAAGTCCTGATTGTCGATACGAGGGGCGAGCAGCTTCAATTTGTGACGTGCAATTCGGAATGTCTCGGCGCAAAAGGTGTCGCAACCGCATGCAATGAAGCACTTGCATGCCCCATGGTATCATGAGAGACACCGCTGATACATAAAGAAGAGGCACGTGACGCGTTTCTTATACAAACATGACGCCGCTCATCCAGGGAAGAACGTACATGCGCGACGACCGTATTGGCCGTAGCCAATTTTTGTGACAAAGTTCGAGTCATTAGAACCAGCGGATCAAGTTTTCGCGAAAACCATTCCGATGTTACCACAGTCCTTCGTACATTTCGTCAAATTGTCCATCTATTTCGTCAGCCTACACATGACATTTCGAAAAGATCGTCATAGATACTGCGCGTCGATCGTGACGTGCATCGATGTGGGAAGGCAGGGACAATGCTCAGCGCTGCATCAATTGACACATTTGATCGCTTGGCTTTCTTGGCTAAGTGCGCGGTCCAGCATCTGCGAGCACGATTCTCACGCGCTCAATTGGTGGCGGTACCCATTCGTGAGCTCGAGCACACGTTCTGCTGAGCACAACACGGACTTATCTGACCACTGTGCGCTTCTCTCGAATCCATTGCATCACCATCTTCACCATAAAAATGGACGAGCAAACGCCAGCGCTCAATTTGTCCTCGAGTGAAATAGAAGTCAGCCAGTGTTGCAGCAGACCAGCACCACAAACGAGGGCACTCTGGCTGCAGATGACGGTAGAAGTTGCAATAACATTGAGCCGCTCGTGTTCTTTCGCGCTCTGGGTATCTAAAAGTCGTCGTGGATGCTCAAAGAATGAGGGAAGATTCATTGTTGCCAAACACGCCGTGACTAACACAATGACAACTTCACACTAGATTGGTTGTGCGCATGTTTGATGGATGGTATGATAAAGCGCGGCAGGATCGCAACCATTGGGGCACCAAAAAGTTGGTGCGAAACAAACAAGAAAGGGACAAGCTATCGTCGATATTGCACGGTCCCAAGCGATAGTACATCAGTCCTTCTATGTTAGCAACCAGGCACCAGAAAAAAGCGTTGCGTAGAGGACTATCCATCGCCGTCATTCGTCTTCCCAGAGACAGGCTCCGGTATGCACTTAATGAGCATCATACATCCATACTTACGGTGGTTCATACGATGTGACAAACGGCGCTAGCATTCAGCGATTTTCGGTTGGACAGTATTCCTCGCATCAAAAGGTTCGTCCGCGCCGCCTGGTCAGCGTGAAATAACTGTATCGTTCATATGTTCATTTGTTTACTTTGGCCACAAACGCGCTGCCTCCCATCGACCGGTCTATTCGCAGGAAGTGGCCGGGACGCCTAATGATGACATCAGTGCTGGTGATGCTGCGGCATCCATTGCGCACGATTCATCCGAATCAGCAGCAGCGCAAAGTCACGCCCTCTACCACTACATTCCAATATGATTTTGTGGATCGAGAGATGTGTTCGTCGTATCGATAGTGCTGACTTCTACGTCGATTTCATTCGGATGATGCGCAAACTGCATGATACTGTAACGGGGTGAGCCCGTTACATAAAAATGGCACGAAAGTAACAATTTGAGGGGTTCACTTCTCGGTTGATGTAAAGTGTACATCAACCAACTTAACCACCAATCGCTGCTGGACGCACGCAATGGGTGGTGAGCAAAAGACCCACATAGGATAAGGAATGTTAATATAGTTAAAGTAAGTCATTGGATGATTTATTAACGTCATAACTATATTAAATAAACAGTTCTACTTTCCCCTCAAGACAGAGCTTTCGGGTTCGGTTTTGTCTGTCGCTCCCCCGGTTGCCCCGTGTACGCTTGACGGGCACACGTCACCCTTGCGTTAAGTTCACGCAAGGGGTGTGCCCCGTTACACCTGGTAGCAATTTGTAGTCCTTCCAGCGACCACTCATCTCATCCAACATGTTCATGTTGGATGAGGAAGATGGCTTTCACGTCACACGTGAAGGCTTCGCCCATTTGAGTGACCCCGAATGGGCAGCAGTAGGGCGAATGAGCTTCACCGTGGGCGACATTGGCGTTACCGCCATGTTGAAATCTCTTGACAGAGACCAACAGCATGCCTCCATCGCCAGGTTCATTCAACATGAACTTGCTACCGAACGGGAGTAAGTAGCTTTGCTTCAACAGCAAGGCTCTCAACAGGCCGATCAGTTGAGAGAACTCGGTGCTCAACAGACGGAGCTGTTGAGATAGCAGCAATTCAATGCTGCTGTGGGCGGGACGACGCATGCACGTCGTCCCGAAATCTTGAAGGTTGATATCTCCAAGTACAGAGGAGTCGAGGAAGACTCCCTGTTGTTATGGTTTGTCGAATTAGACAGAGCCATAGAGGCACGTCGCATCGACGATGAGCTAATGAAACCAACATTTGCTCAAAACCACTTGGCAGGACGTGCCAAGACTTGGGCCTTACGACTGGAGATGGGCGACTCATATGCTTTTGAGTCGCTTGAATCCTTCAAGACCCGGCTCAAACGCACGTTTGAGACGCCAAGGGCTGAGTTCAGGGCTCGGTCAGAGCTCCTTAAACTCAAACAAGGTGAGCGTGACGTGCACGCTTACGCCCAAAATATACGACTCCTTGCGAGTAGTATAATTACCAACCCGGTTCATGAACACACGCTGATCACTGTGTTCATGCAAGGGCTCGCATATGGGCCTGTCAGGAACCACCTGTTCCGTCTAGAGTTGAATACTCTAGAAGGTGCTATTGCAGCAGCGGAACAGGAGAACTTAAGCATATGACCGGTTCATGCTAGCTCAAGATCTTATCGTTTACCGAGGCGAAAAGAGACCGGAGGTCCAGAACCAATGGACCTCTGTTGTGTTGAGAGCAAGGGACCTTGCTCTTCGAACAACAAGCGATTGCAGAAGTGCAGTCGCTGCAAGAAGTTGGGACACTACGCTTACGAGTGTAGTGCCCCTCGTCTAGTACTGAGTACCTGGTCGTCCATTTGCCAAAAGGGGCAATTGGCGTGGGTCCAGAGCCGTTGCGAAATCGCGACAGCGAAGCGGGTCATCAAAAATGGCTGGGGTCGGTAGGGGTGGAGCTTCCTACTGATCCAACAATCTCAAGAGAATAGGCAAACCTCTCGACGAAAGTTGCTCCAAATACACAGTCACTGTGTGTCTCTGCACCTAGTGATGAGACATCACTCATCATCTTGAAGTTGGAAGTAACAAAAGATATGTCACTTCGTGCTCTGGTTGACTGTGGGGCGTCGAATAATTTTATTCGTCGCCAATCACTGATGGAGCGTGGGGTCTTGTTTGTTGAGCTCCATATTCCCCTAATGAGGATGACGGTGCGCCTTGCTACATGCACAATAATTGCCGTTAAGAAACGTGTAGTCGGAATCTACTACACGTTAGAGGACTGTCAGCACGATGATAACTTTATCGTACTGGATCTGGATGACAAATTTGATGTCATCCTGGGAT